TGGGAATGTTTGTGAGGAAAAACAGGGATTTGGGAATGTTTGTGAGGAACAAGAGGGATTTGGGAATGTTTGTGATGAAAAAGGGGGATTTTGGGAATGTTTGTGAGGAAAAACAGGTATTTGGGAATGTTCGTGAGGAACAAGAGGGATTTTGGGAATGTTTGTAAGGAATAATTGGAATTTGGGAATGTTTGTGAGGAACAAGAGGGATTTTGAGAATGTTTGTGAGGAAAAACGGATTTTGGGAATATTTATGAGGAACAAGAGGGTTTTGGGAATGTGGATTGTAGGGAATTGATTCCAAGGGAATGTTTGTGAGGAAAATCTGGGATTTGGGAATATTTGTGAGAAACAAGAGGGATTTTAGGAATATTTGTGTGGAAAAACAGGAATTTTGGGAATGTTTTTGAGGAACAAGAGGGATTTGGGAATGTTTGCGAGGAACAAGATGTTGTGAGGAAAAACAGGGATTTGGGGAATGTTTCTGAGGAACTGGAGGGATTTTGGGAATGTTTGTGAGGAACAAGAGGATTCCGTGCCCGGAGTCACTTTTTCCATGGGGTTTTTCCCGGGATTCAGGTGGATTCCGGGAAGCTGCGGAGCGTGGACGAGAGCGAGGGGCGGCTCTGGGCCGAGAGCCGAGGGTTCCTCTACTTCGAGACCTCGGCACAGACCGGAGAGGGGATCAACGAGATGTTCCAGGTGGGAATTCTGGGAATGGGAATGGGAATGGGAGCTGGAATAGCCAAGATTCCTCATCCAGAGGGAATGGGGATGGATCCAAGGGGCTGGAATAGCCAATATTCCTCATCCAGAGGGAATGGGGATGGATCCAAAGGGAATGGGGATGGATCCAAGGAGCTGGAATAGCCAATATTCCTCATCCCGAGGGAATGGGGATGGATCCAAGGAGCTGGAATAGCCAATATTCCTCATCCCTATGGAATGGGGATGGATCCAAGGGGCTGGAATAGCCAATATTCCTCATCCAGAGGGTGTTGGAGCAGCTCCAAAGGGAATGGGGATGGATCCAAGGGGCTGGAATAGCCAAGATTCCTCATCCCTATGGAATGGGGATGGATCC